TGTGAAATGTTTTTTTGTTTTTTTGTGAAATGAATAAATTAATTAAACTAACAAACAAAAAAACTAAACTAAAACTTTTTTAGTGCTGTAGTGAAAGTGAAAAGGGCTCCAAGAAAAAGCTTCTGATTTCAACATCAGCGTTACAGAATAGAACAGAGCCTGAAGAAAACCCACAAAGGCACAGACTGAATATGCAAACTCTACCAAAAATGGGTTAYGAGCCAGGATTAGATCCAGCAACCTTCCTGGTGAGAGGCAGAAGCTCAACCAACTGAGTCACATTRAAAACAATATTGTCAACCTTGTGCAATACTGCAGTATTTTATGTGGTTATTTTACTGAGTATTTACCTAGTTTCCTTTCAACTCGTGTTTTTACTGATTTAAGTCTTACAGTACCTCAGGCATGTCTACCAGGAGGCAAGTTTAGCACTGTTTGGTGCTAAATTAAACTTTATCAGGGAAGAAAATTTAAACGTGTTTAAAAATAATTAATTCTAAATCTCTGTAATCCTTCAGTTTTGATCAGAGTGTTCAGCCTGTTTTCCAGTAATGGTTGAAGCAGGACTCAAAGTGGAAAAAACAGGAAACAGTACAAGTGTTTTGGTCATTTAGGATGGAAAAATGTTCTTGAGGAATTTAACATCAGAGGTGGAAATGTGAAAGATAGAAGGTGCCTACAGAAACAACAAGAGGAAAAAACATGACTGGAGCATTGTGTGCTTGTTTGGAACAGTCAGAGGGAAGAGGAAACGCTGAAAGCACATAAAAAATGCAGATGGGCTGAGGTCCAAGCAGGTTGACAGTGAGCAGGGAAATATTTGCACAATGCTGTGTAAATACGTGTCTGATGGAGGAATGGGCTCAATCTAAAGGCGCCCTCTGCCCCTCATTTCCTCCTCGGAGGCTTTTTCCAGCCAAAAAATGTGTCATTATCTGGTTTTCACTTCCGCCTGCTGCTGGGGGTGACAAGAATATGAGACAGATAAATGGAGCCATCACGATTACAGAAATTCCTTTGAGATGAGGTAAAATATCTAAAGTGTGACAMAACAAGTGCAGACTTTCAGTAGCCAAAGCAGAAATGACATCATGCAACCTAAAACTCACATATTGTGACATAAAT